ACAAGTGCCTTACTAGTAGTAACAAGAAGCTACTAGAAACAAGTGCATCGCTTCTAGTAACAAGCGCCTTACTAGTAGTAACAAGAAGCTATTAGTTTAATAAATAACTGGGGCGACATTCTTATGGCCTTATGGGATCCTTGGGGGCAGAATGCGGGGTTCCTTCTGTAAGAATGGACCAAGCGTCGGCTTCAGCCTTTTGGACACTGATCCCATAGAGCACCCTGTGCATCTCTGTGCCTTGTCTTCACATCTCAGCTGTTGTCTGGAGCACCTGGATAATTGTATTCAAACTGTCACCTGGCTCGACCAACAGGGAAAAAAGGGTGTTGTCCTCAAAGTAAGCCTACCAAAACAAAAAACAACACTATTTGTTTTTTTGTTTTTTTTCCGTGTCCTTCTTGACTTTGATGCACCCTGATGCAAACCGCCCCCCCCCCGCCAGCCTCCATGGGCCCCCTCAAAGATCCTCCACATCCGCAATCTCCGATTCCGACGCGTCCTCTTCGGTCTTCTGCGCCACTTTCCAGGCAGGATCCTTTCGAATCATCTTGGACCTCGCGACGCGCCGTGGTGAAAATCGCTCTTGGACCCGCAAGACATGACAAGGCTATGCGAAACGTTTGCCATTCACTTTTGCAAGCACGTGTTGTAGTCAATGAGTTTCAGGCTACAAGCTACCAAAAACACAGCACCACACTTATTGATTCAACATGATTCAACCATTCAGGGAGTGCAACCAATGGCCTGTCCATTCCTTATCCCTAACCTTGAGTGGCACTCGGGAACTCTCTTGATCACCCTCGATCTTTCCGTTTCTGAACTGCTTCAACAGCTGAGAGCCTTCGACTGTTTTTGGATCATCGTCATCTCTGAAACTCCTGATTTTCGGGGCCTGGTCGCTTTCTGAGGCCCCTACAAGTCGATCTGCTCCTTGGAGCCTCAGGATGTGGCTGTCGGGCGAATCGGAGAAGTGCAACAATTTGAGCGACCGGACGGACAAAGGATGCACCTGTCCATACAAGGATCCCTTCGTCAATGCGTAGTTCGACCGCAATTTTGACATATAATATATATATATAGAACTCCTTCGCCCTTTGCCCAATGAACTTGGTGAAGAAGTGGCTCATTTGAATCGTGACTGCATGGCAAAAAACATCACGACGAGTAATTACAACAAACTGCATCCCGTACCCTGATTGATTGCATGCATGGTTGCACAACTCTATTGAGACAACCTCCCCGACACTTCTTTAGAAACTACTTTGGATGTCACGTGCTTCCAACAAATGTCTGTGCAGCAGACTGCTCCAACGGCTTGCTCATGTTTGCTGGCGTCCTTGATTCAAAGAATCCCCTCCCTTTCCTGAGATCTGTCTGACTGTTTCGACGCATGCTTCATTAACAAACACACCAAAAAGGGACCAAGTCGGACCAAGGGGGTTGGACTTACCTTCTGGGAAACTCGGAAAACCATCTATTACTATAAACAATTTGATTTATCTGGCGGACTCGCCGGGGGAATTTCAGGGATTGGATCCATTCCACGGAGACTCCTTCACCCGCTCGCTTGAGGTCAGCACGGGCCATTGACACCTTGGGGCGCACCTGGTAGGCGCCTCACGCTCGATGCACTGTATGCAAGGTCAATGTCTTGCAACTGAAGAAACGTGGGAAATCTGGGTGATTCGGACAGCCCAAGCTGTGCTGGCAATAACCACTATGGACCATAATGGAGGTAAAGAATGCAAATACTACTTCCGGAGGTCCTGTTGTGGTGTTTGCAACCAGCAGGTGAAACACTGAACTTGATGAACTTGGAATCCTCGTGCGGGTACGTAGGTTGAATAACTACCTACTAACAACATCTATAGTGGTCCCCAAATAGATAGACAGTTGCCAATACGTTCTTTGATATTCTTTGCGGGGATCTAATTTTCTACCGATTTGGGGTCTATACAATAACCCTATTATCACAACATTGTCACTTGGCGTAAGCTTGTTGCCACCAAGGTGCCGCTTGACTTCTCCGACCAGCGACGCAACTTGCCCGCATCATCGCGGTTCCTTCAGTGTGGATGGGTATTCGGAGTGACCGGCAGGCTCGTTGTAAAGCTTTGGGAAAATCATGGGGAATCGTCTTACCATCATGGGATAGCAAATTCATTTTGGCAACGTGTGCATACCTCTCAGCACCAAGCCATACTGCTCAGACTGAGTCTGTATGGCATCATTCAGGACACGGCACATTGGTCTGTGGCGTTGCTTTGACAGCGTCCAGTTCAGTGCTGTTCTGGAGCAATCGCAAAGGTAACTCCAAATGTTCGGAGACGAAAGAGGTAACATAATGTTATTTATTATAGCAGTGTATAGCAAACCTGAACAAACCTGCCTCCCAACAAATGCCTCGGGAAAAGCTCTTTTTCAAGTCTATCTCAGGCCACGGCCCAAGTGGAATGCTGTCGTTCTTCACCGACATGTCCTTTGGAAAAGGCCCTACGCCGCCAGGGAAAGCATGACAAAATAAGTACTCTCTGACACTAAGAATAAACACAAATGGAAACAAATAGCTTTGGGGTGCATGACTCACCATGGCTCATCTGACCAATCCAACTCACACCAACCATACCACCTCCATCCATCTCCCCAGTCATCGCTATATTAGATTAGGGAACCATGGGCCATGACCATGGCTATAACCCTTCAGCCAGTTGGAGCTGGTGCCTCCCTACAGGGCTCTTTGGATCTTTGGAAAAGCTGGATTTCACCTACGATCAGCCCTTTCTGATCAAATCCAAAACGCTCGTGGTGCCTTTCTCCGTTGATTTCTCTTGAGTTGATTATTTGCCTTCGTTTCGATGTGGATTCTTTATCTTGAAATCAACCTCTTGGGCTCAATCTTCTACATGGACTACGTGGACCATGATAACCTGCGGGCCGCCCCATGTCCTCTGACTTTGGACTGGGAGGTTCCTGCAACTTGGGATTGGAGCAAATGGTGTCCACTGTAAATGCGTCAAGTTGCAAAAAGTGTTTAATACTCAGAACCGTTTTGAAACAAACTGTGGATGAAAGTGGGTGTTTAAGGGGCATGCATTTGGCACTTCACACATGGGTGCCAGTTGATGAACGAACCGCCCCACCTGCGGAGGATCGCGACCTGAGCAAATGAGCGGAGAACGCCGCTGGACGGAGGGACGACATCCGGGACGGCCACTGGGTCACTCTGGTGGGCCTCCAATGACCCCAGCACCATGGGGCACCAATGTGAATCAAATCTGAAGGTAAACTACGTCTAGTCTTGTGTCAAGTGTTTCTCAAATCTGAGGCCGCGACTGGGCATGGCTATCTGAACCAAGGCCTCAGAGACAGTGGGACAATCCTTACTTCGGTGTTCTAGAAATGGCTTTCCAATACATCTTGAGAATCTTGGGGTCGCTATATATTATATATATATCACACTCTATCCATCCATCTATCTATCTATTGATCAATATTGATCTAATCTAAGCTAATCTAATCTAATTATCTAATCTAGTCTAGTCTAGTCTACTCATCTCTACTCTACTCTACCTATCTACCTACCTACCTACCTGTCTGTCGATCTATGTCGATCTATCGATCTACATATCACATCAAATGCATCTTCCGGAATGTCCACCAAATGGCCGTGCCTGTCCCAAACGCCGTACTGGATCTGCTCGGGAGCGTGGTAGCAGCTGTTCAGCGGAAATCTTGCACAAGGCCTGCAAAGGTGTGAGGATCGCGTGAATCATCAATGCAAAAAAAGCAGAAGAGAGTGACAGCCTTTGGCATTTCTTAGTCACAGCTTTTGCTTCTGCAAATGCATGTAGTGTAATATATTGTGGGATTTTCTATGCACATACTGATGTATACAAAAGGAGTGACCGCACATGTACCACAACTTACCCCTTCGGAGACTTTCACATTGGGATCATTCGTCCGATCCAAATTCAGAACTGTGCATTCATGTACATTCAGTGCATGCAACCCAACACCGCTCTGCAATCACAAACAGCATCTTGAGACATAAGAGGCATTCCAAGGTGACCTTGTCACAAAGACGAGACATGGCCCTTGTGGATCTCAATCCTTCAAGCTATCCCTGGATCATTCGTGGATGGTTTCATTGATATCTTCAAACTGCTCTAAAAACATCCACTTGGCCCAAGCGCCATTCCCTGAAGACTTGGATAGAACATCTGAATTTTGTAGATAGTTTCTTGGAACAAGTCGTGGTTACGTAGGAGAAGCAACTGATGTCACATGTTATTCTATGTTATTCTCATGGTTGACCACTCCTTAGTTGGGGACCTCCTCGTTTTGAGACATACCGACACAACTACCGACGCATGATCGATGCAGTGCGCGCACCTCGAAGTCAGCCTTTGGAGATACTTGGCTCAGTTCTGGTAGGACTGCAAGTAGCTCCTTCTTCCAGTGCTCTGCTTCGTTGTAACCCTTCTAGAACGCTGTGCTCAAAGACAGTTAGATATAGTTAGTCTAGGGAGTGCACTTGTCAAACACTACGTCACCACGCAGGAATTTGATCTGATTCTGCACTCTTGGGTGGCAAAGTAGAAGCGGAATCGAAGGCTCTCAGCACGCCATGCCTTTTTGGGTGTCAGATTTAAAGAAGAAAGCGCGCCAAGACATGGCAACTGTGCCCAAGCCGTCCGTCCGTCCGTCTGTCCTGCCAAGCCATCGCATGGCCTGATGTTCTGTCGGCTTGTCGAAATGAACTGTGAATGCTAAACTGCGTCTTCTGCACCATGCTGGTGCGAAAGCCAAGAATTCCGAAAGCCTGCAGGATCCATAGGAAAGCCAAGATCTGGACTTAACTAGTCACTATACACTTTTCCCATGCACCCAAGAAGAAATGAAGCTGACCCAGGCTAATGACAATGCCCCTCAGACATACAAAAAACTGACGCGTCAACTTTCTTGTCGTCCATGTCTAGTTATCATGAAGCCATGGATGGCACCAGTGTCCCAAAGTTCCACGTTTGCTGGTGTTCACTTTCATTCGTCGACCCATGGGCCGCTCCCAGGCCGTCTCCGGCCTTCAGGACTGCGCGCGAGCTTCAGCGCCTCAGCTCCCTCACAGGCAGACAGTGCAGAGGCCTGGTGCGAGACGCCGCAGCGGGACACGTCACGACCACCGGAGATCGGTAGGACGAAGCAGTTGGAAGACCCCGAGTTTATTTAAAAAATTTGGCCATAGCAGATCATGTTGAGTGGGGGGTCGAACAGTATCATGTTGTATCTATATTTAATTATGTGACAATCATGTTTCCACCGAACACTCGTTGCTGCTTTGCGGTGGATTTAGCTGTCCACAAGCCCAAACCACCGGTAGAGCCCGGCATAGCCCGGCCTACTAGGATGACGTCTGCCCTCCAGTCAACTGACACGCACCCATTCCTGAAATCCTTGACTATATATATATATATTGTATGTGTAAGGAACTCTCCTTTCGCACAGGTTCAGTCAACATGCCGCATCTGGGCTTTGAGTGGGCAGGTGTAGTAAGTGTAGTATGGGCAGTTCGCTACGGCTGGGCAGCCATCGTCTTTTCCGGAATTGGACGAACACTCTTCTCCAACCGCACCTGGGGTTTGTTGGTTGGGCGTCTCGTTCCGTGGTATTTCACGCTGATGATGTGGGCTAAGAAACTGCCACGCTGTTTCACCCGTTTTGCGACCTCCGCCAGGTTGCTGGACATGTGGCCCTGGCAGGTCGTGAGGGAAGAACCGATGATGACATGTGCCATCGAGTGACCGGAACCAACAAGAATCCTGCCACCATCATCACGCAAAGCAAAGGACGGGGTAGGGGAAGGTATATATCATTTTCAGCCAGTTAAACTGGATCCTCGGCAACTCCAAAGAAGGCATCTGGGGTCGTTGCTCACCATGTTTTGAGGATCCAGATGTGTTGAGTCTACTGGCACACAGAAGTGCGCCTGGAAAAAGAACGAAGCGATCATGGTCTGCACATCCAAGTTGTTGCAATTATATGTCTGACTGGCGACTAGGATCGGCTCCAGGTGCACTTAGGACAAGTTCAGTTGTTGGGGCAACCCCTTCACAATGTCAAACACATTATGCACCAAATGCAGTGCATGGACTCCGTCATTGCATCTTCCCTTCATTGAGTTTGGTTTGATACATCCAACCTGGCGTGGAGGACAAAACAACTCATTCTTGCTGGATTCTCGGGTAGCTGGGGTCAGTGTGAAAGCCAGGATCACCATTTTCTGTGAGAAACACTCAAGCAGAATGACGCCTGTGCGCTCTTCACACAGGTCGCATAGTGAAGTGGTCCCTTGACAACATTGAGCACTTTGGCTCCGGCCGTTTGCAAAAGGATGGGCTGAATAAAACGATGCAGGAGACCGGACTCATAACTGTTCCGAGATTAATTTTCTAGTTTCTACGTCTGTCTGTATGTCTGTCTGTATGTCATGTATGTAATGTAATGTAATGTAATATAGTGTGATGGTATGCATGTGTGTACGTACCTACGTACGTACGTATGTACGTACGTACGTATGTATATGTATACATGTGTATATATATAGGTATATGTGTGTATGTGTGTATGTGTGTGTATGTATGTATGTATGTATGTACATGTATACACATACATTCATATCGGTTTCTTGAACATGTTTGTCTTTTTGATGCTCCACTTGAAGAGATGCAAACGGTAATTAGCCTAGGGCAAGCAACAAGCATCTTCGATGCACAAAATTCCTACGATAATTCCATGGGCGCACCAGCCATGCATGTCCGTGCACATCATGGCAGGCACTCTACCTCTAACCAACCCACACTGGAGCGAGACTGCCCAAACGAAAATTGTTCGGACACAGTCAAATCAATAAATCACTCAAGAAACTTATTTGACCGGCACATGGGCTATATAGACTACAACACCAACCGCAAGCCGGCAAAGGATTCAAGGGCTCCCTGCTTCAGTTGAGTGTGAGAAACCCAGGAACTCCTTCAGCTCAACCTGCAGGAGCAGTACAATCAGTGCAACCCACGCTTGTGCCAGGAGGCATTGTCTTTGTTCTCTTGGACAAAGGGCAATCAATAAACTACTATAGACGGGTGCTGTGGGTGGTTCTCTTCTTACCCCCTTCGTTGCCAACACCCTTTTGAGTCCCTTATGTATCCTTTATGTGACAAAGTCCTGTCGCTGAGGAGAGGCAATGGAGGTTCCGGAAGCCCCAGCATGAATCATGAATCCTCATGAATCGACGGAGTGCTCCTTTGGAATGCTCAACAGTCAAGCGCGCTATGACAAAACCTGTCCACATGCTAAAGCGTAACGTGAGCACTCGAGGTAAATTCGGTGTTTCCTTTTTTGGGGGGGGGCCGGGCATCCATGGTTCAGGAGACCCTTGCTCGTGTCTGTGCAAATCTGACATTTGCTTTTGGATGGTTTTGGCATTTTTTTTTGACATATGCTCTTGCATGTCTGACATTTGTTGACTTGGGCGACCCCCTCAGGTCCGTGACGGAGAAGGAAAAAGAAAAGGATGGAAAGAACACCGTCCGGTCCAGCCTAGAGTCCTAGAGACCCTTACAGAGATGGGGAACGACTAGTCTGACCGGCAAGATCACCTGACTCAAAGCTATTGAGCGGCCCTCATCGTTGGTATTGTTGTGGTTCGGGGCCGTTTACGACGAATAGTCAATAACACAGCTGCAGCAGTTTGCCCACTTCTGTATTGTAAAGGCTCCCTGGGCATCTGCACATACCTGCGCAATCTAAACAAAGGATCCCTGGGCATCTTGTCGGTATTCTCTATTCTCTGATATTTTATGCAATGATGCTATTTGATGCTACCAGTGTTTGTCTCCTCCTACCGAACCAAGAAGACACCGTCCAATCTCCAACTCACGTCTCTCCGCACCTGCCGGTCATCCTTTTCGCTACCGGCTTCGGCGAGCAAGCTGGGCTCCACTGGAATCTTATGCCCATTCCATGTTTTGTTGCGCTGCATGAGCTCCGTGTCTCGACCTGAAGGACCGCCCCGGTTGGGAAGGCGGCCGTGCGTCAGGCACGGCTTAAGCTGTGTCCTATGCTCACATGTGGGGAATCAAGACCACAGTAACAAACCCTGCAAGCAATTTGCACTCAAGCGACGCGAATCATCTACTTCTGAAGTTCTCTTCTCCTTCGTGACGCCAGACTTGAAGTGGACGAAGACTTTGCTTCCTTCAGGGAGTATGTTTCAGGTAGCACCTTTGATCCAAAGCTTATGGTCATCGTCTTGAATCTTTTGTGCAAGTGTTGTACAGTTGTGATAACACACCATTAGCGAACATTGTACTTATACGCTCCCTGTTAAGAAAACATGATGGACTTGCGAACCTCCCTAGTACAGCTTGATGAATAACTCCTTGACAGTTCATTACATATTATATAAACATACAGTATGTATATATATATAACTATATGCTTATCTATACATATTGAACGTGTCTGAACAACTATGGCCTAAACTAACCGCACAATTCAACCACCACGTCACAGCCGGAACAATCATCGTTCCGATTTCTCAAGCGTTGCAAATGATCATAAGCAGCTCAACCTGCAAATGCGGATCACTTGAAAACACCGGCCTTCGTAGAGAGCACCAAAGCCCCTGTGCTTGATAATCCACCTCACCGGACTAAGATGGTGAACGAAACCAGCTTCGGGGGTAGCGGGGAAGCTCCAAGCGATGGGCCCCACTGGCGTCTCAGGTCTTGCAATGACCAAGGCAAAGCATTCACATAATATCGTGTTACTATCTAGTAGCGATGGCCTCCAACCTACTTCCGATGGCCTCCAGGACTCCACCCAATAGCATCCTGATATTGCTCAAAAAAGTGCTTTGTATGCACATCATTACTCGTTCTTTGATCTAACAAGGCGCGAGAAGCACAACATCACATGACTGCCAAGCCACCCTTCTGCACCTTTTGCAATTTTCCATGAGTCCTGGCACAGTCGAACAGCATCGTAGACTCCGCGGCACCGCATACACGTCAAATAGAGCCTAGGAAAACTCTTCAGTGCCTGCCCTCTAACGGGCCGCACCTAAACAAGCAGCATGAGATGCATTCTCTGTCCCCATCAGTCATGCTTGGTGTCTGGATGTGCCCTGTCCACATCCAAAGAACTCTTTCAGGGCAACAGGATGCCATCGCTGCTAGGTTGCAGGCCGTTGCTGTTAGGTTGAAGGCCATCGCTATTAGGTTGGAGGCCATCGCTACTAGGTTGGAGGCCGTCACTATTAGGTTGGAGGCCATCGCCATTAGGTTGGAGGCCATCGCTATTAGGTTGGAGGCCATCGCTACTAGGTTGGAGCCCGTCACTATTAGGTTGGAGGCCGTCGCTATTAGGTTGGAGGCCGTCGCTATTATAACTATTAGGTTGGAGGCCATCGCCATTAGGTTGGAGGCCATGCCGTCGCTACTAGGTTGGAGGCCGTCACGATTAGGTTGGAGGCCATCGCTATTAGGTTGGAGGCCGTCGCTATTAGGTTGGAGGCCATCGCCATTAGGTTGGAGGCCATCGCAATTGGGTTGGAGGCCATCGCTATTAGGTTGGAGGCCATCACGCTGTGTTCTGTGGACTTTGGATCTGGCAGCTCGTTCGTTGCGGCCACTGAGAGACGCCACTAAGCACTTGCGTTTCGGCATGGCATGATGACAACACGACGGTGGCATCTGGGACATCCTGGGAAACTCAACCGTACGGGGCAGCACAACATGCAGGCTGCCATGGCCGCCATGGCCTAGCTTCAGTCAATACACGTTGTCGAGTACTCACTGACTGCCAAATGCAGCCTAGCTGCTAAGTGACACACATAACCATGGCTTTAAACCGCTAAGTAGCTCCCCACCGATTGTGGGGAGTTGTGATTGTGGGGAGTTGTGATACATCTGGGGATGTCGAGAACTGCACCGCAAGAAAGCGCCCTTCCCTCCTCCTGCGTCTCAAAGCGCATCTTCACATAGACGTTATTGTCATTGCCAAGCTCATCAGGGCCAAGGTTGTAGGTGTAATCAAAGAGAAGGTCGATGACCTGAAATGGGTGGTCATATCACATGGAAATCTTCTCAACTGATGTATGGAGAACCTTTGCCTATATACAGTATATATATATACTTATGTATCTGATGTGCGGTGATATCTGCGTAGCCTTAGCTGCTTAACTGGTTCACAACTCACTTCGTGGAGCATCTGCCACCAGTCACCAGGTCTCACGGCGTGTGCCGTACCCAGTCGCGTCCGGCGCCTGTTCGACTGGAAGCCTCATCCAGTTATAGAGGTCATAGCCTGAGGCGTTCGTTCTTGCGAGGCCATCACTCGATTTCCGGCTGGGTCGTTCGACCCCACATCTGCGAGGAAACATGACTAAAATGATCGGAAGACCGATGCTGGCCCAAAGGTTTACCGTAGGGCCGAAGAAAAGGAAGTCCTCAAAAAGTCGGCAACAGCCCAACGTCACGATTTACGCTGATTGCTTCACCGCATCTTCTTGATTACAGTAACTCTCTCTGTCGTTGTCTCTTCAAGGTTTCGTGAACTAGATTTGCTCAAAGTAGCTCTTGTTGGTGAAGGAGCCACCTTTCTCATTGTTAAGTCCTGGCACATCTTCAGAAGCGGCGAACTGGCCGTACTGGCCCGTGTTGTGTCCGACAGGGGCTGAGATTGCGAGATGTC